AATTAGACTTGCATCAGTGTCAGTGTAAATAATAACTCTAGAAATATTGCCTTTCCAAATTTTTTGCCCTGGCAGACTGCACAGCTTGTATAATGAACTGTCGGGATTGAATAGTTGGCAGTTTTGTGTCTTCTATTCTGTTAATCTGCCATGCAAATACAGTGTTTAGTGTTCACTCTATATCAGAAGTATAAAATACATTGTCTATTGTAATACTGCTGATCATGGAGTATAATTTTAAGGAACTGTCATATTGGAAGTCATCAGGAGTTATGTATCTGTGCAGCTCTCCAAACCTGTGAGATAGATATTCTTCCTTTTGAAACAAACAGCCCTCGTCTAAACATGTCCTGAAATCTTAGATGCCCTACGTCTGGGTTTTTCATGGGGCATGCTTTCGGAATCATTTGCCCCTGAGATAATTTGTAGTTGAAAAGGCAACTTGTCGCGTGTAGCATACAATGTTATGTGGTGTAGAGTGACCCCCCATGTCGTCCAGCGGTAATGTTCTTCAAAAGTATACAGAAGAACTGGTGGTAAGTTCCTCTTCTTGAGGGGATGAGTAAGGGTGTGACAGAGACACTACTGAAAACTACACTTGTGAAAAAAGTTTTTGTGTTCCTCTTGGATGTAGCCAGACTTCACAAGTTGTGTGGACCTCTTTTCAATACGGTATCATTCCTATTGTTTCAGTGCTGGGGTGTTAAATGCACCTAGACGTGCCGGAGTCAAACTAAGGGCAAAAACATAGTTCCTAATGTAGACTTGTCACTGTACTGATAGGGTCCACATCAAGGAGTGGATAGGAATCCGCCTTGGCTGCAGTAGGTAGGAAAAGACAAGGTGCCGTGTCCATCACATGTGGAGATTTGTCTTGCAGCACAGCTACAAAATGTTTTCTTGCAGCCCAGTCTGTATGCCAGTTGGCAATGAAAACGGATGCTGTATATATTTTACTTTGTTGTGTGATAAATGGCTAGTTTTATTCAGTGTTCACTTATGCCTCTCTTATTCTCCAGAGACAATCTCTCGCTTTTGATTTTTCTCTTTAGAACGCCTTTCCAGAGATGTGCCATGACAATCTTGAGCTTTATCACTGTCCTACTCCTACACTTATAATTTCCAGCTGTGGCCCTCATCCTGCAACATTAATACAGTGATACTTTGCAGGCATCACAGGGAACCCTGAGGAGTGGGCCAGGACTTCATTTTTATAGCAAGCAATAGTAATTCAGCTTTCTCAGACTTTAAAGCACAGGTTACAGTCCCTTTGGAAATTTTTATGGATGTATTTAATCTTGGAGCTGTGCCACCAATGTCTATCTATTGCTTTGTGATATTGTTCTGACTTCCTGAGAGATATTCTTGCTGAAATATTTCCAAACTAAAACTCTTTGCTATCCCAGCTATATTTGGACTAATAGTGGGATAAATTATGGTTTATCAGATCGGCTTTCAGGACTTGCACTCCAGTGGGGCCCTGAGGTTCTGGAGAAGGGAAAGTTATGCAGGTCTCTTGCAGCATTTCCCATCTCTTCTGCCCAATCCTCCTTTTGTTTTATTCTAAAACCAATAGTGTTCTGCCTCCCAGCATGACTGATTCTTTCTGCCTCTCTGCTCTTACAGCTTACATAAAAGAATCCCTTTTATGAGTCCTGTTCAGATTTAGGCTACCAACTATTAGTTTAATCATTGGTTTTGAGAAATATTTATGTTTTGGTAGTACTGGAATGCTAACAGTCAATACCTAAGTGTTCCCTTTTGTGAGGTCTGTCTCTGTTCTCAGTTATGTGATCCAGATAGTCAAATTGTACAAAGGTTTGTGAAGAGATGCGGGGGAAGAGAGGTGTAAGGCCATAACAAGTCCACAAGTACAGCAAATTTCCAAATAGTTATGGTAGATATCTAACTTGATTCACTTATTTATTGGTAGAGATTTAAGAGAAGAGAAAGAAAATGCTGATACTTTATAGGTGGAAAGGCAGAAGAAAAAAAAAGTATTGCATTTGTTTAAAAAAACCAAAACAAAACAAAAGAAAGGCTTTTTAAAAATTTTCTTATTCCCCTGCTCGTATGAGAGTTTGCCACTGACTTCCATGGGACTACGAACAGATCTCAACTTTATCTTTTGGTATACAGTGACATCTACAGAGAGTGGAGCACATCAAACCAGACTTCCCCATTTAGTACCATGTCTTTATGACCATTTTACTTTTATGTATTTATTTGTTTAAAATTACTACTTTAAGTTCCTTAATGCGTCTACAGTATTATTTATCTCTGTACATTCCCATGAAGATCTACCTGTTATTTTTTTTAAAAGTTGCTTCATCCTGACAGTAGTTATTTTGACAGTTGGAAATGGAATAGCAGTTCTACCCAAACAGAAATTACTTTCTCTTGATGGGTAGAATGTCTGGTCTTATGGTGTAATGCCTGGAAGATTTCAGATTTATTGAGGCAAAGTTTCTTTCACAACTGTGTTGTTCACATCAAGAAGTGGGGTTTTGATGCTTTCAGTCTGAGTGCTTATTCTGAAATTATCATACAAATAGCTTTTTCATGAGATGTGTTCATTATTGATGTAATGTTTTAAATTATTTTAAAAAATACTAAAATGTAAATTCCCTTTAATTTCAAAAAAATCCAAATGAATAAATCAGTAAAGGTACCCATAGGGCTTTTTTCAGGATTTTTCTTTGCTAGACAAAAATCCTTAACTCTATTGCATGCATTTTTGGTTGGTTTTGCTTTGTTGATTTTAATTTTTTTTTTCTTTCTTTTTTTTTTTTGAAGTTTCTGCAAGCTTATTAGGAATCAAAAATAGCTAGCTTCTGCAGTATGATTTTATTGGCATTTTATCCTTTATTTCTCTGGGCAAGACAAAACAGAATCCAGCCTACTATATGTCTACAGAACATTGCCAGTGAATACTATTTTCTTAAGACTTGAGCACATGTTTTAACCTCGTGCACTGCACATAGTCTCAGTAACTACAAGACAGCCATTTAATACATAAAGTGAAACATGCATGTAAATCTTTGCAGACATAACCCTTAGGCTACTGTGGCTCTAACCCCACATGTTAAAAAGGAGTTTGTAATAAGTGATTTTTTTTTTCAAGAAGCTTAAATGGAGGAGGGGAAAAGTAAAATATGAAAAGACAAGGAAAAAAAATTTCTGCTGTCTTTCAAAAGGTAATTTATTAAGTATGTGTAAGAATGTAGACACCTAGGCCCTGAACTTCATGGCATTTCATTGTTGTTTGTTCTTGTTCATGGTTTTTATGTAAAGGTCTTAATTTTGGTATTTCAAAATACGATCATTTGGGGGTAATTTTTCTTTGCTCTTGGATAACGTTAAATGTATCAAAACAAGGTTAAAAAATACTAAAGCAATGCATATAAATGCATCAGGAGTTGTTTTAGTCATGTTTTTTTCCTCGCCAGGTCAGATAGTATAATAATATTAACTGCAAACTAGATCCAGGCCTCATTAAACTAATACAGCAGAATGATAATCAGAAAATTGCCAAGTAATGAACAAAACCCAGAAATTTTAAAACTTATTAAGTGATTGTGGCTGATGAGCAGGTTTTATAGCCAAGGCTTTCATGTCTGAAAAATGACCCTGATAGTTTGCCAGCTGACATTATTGGTTAATTTCTGTTAAACTCAATTTTCATAGAAGAAAGAGCACAAAGTAAAATAACCTCTCAGTCTAGCAGGAGGGAGCGCTTAAAACCCACCTAGTAAAAATCTACTCGTATGTATAAAACCCTTGGCAAAAAGTATTAAGCCCTTTGGAGAAACAAATGTGTAAAACAGTCTCTGTAAAATAGAAACAAACTAAATATATGTAAGCAGTGAATGCTAGAAGGACATGAATGATTTTCTAGGTATTCAAAGACTCTTACGCTCTAATAAAAGATAAAATGTATAATAGATTAAATATGTGCATTCCGTAAGAAGAGACAGAATAATTAAAAAAAAAAAAAAGGTGACTATGCTAGTGGTAATGTTTTAGCATTCAAAGGCTGTTAGCATTTTTCCTCTTGTAGAGATCTGTTGTGTGTCCAAACTGTGGATTTCTCTTCTTGTTCTTTCATTCAGAGATTTTTAGTTGGGATTGAAGGGAGTGAGAAAAAAAGAAAAATACAAACCATGTTTATGTTCTGTGGAGTTTCATAAATAATTAAGCAAAATTCCGTTTTTATAGTGGTTTCAAGTATGACTTTTCTAACATTAAGTATAATCACAGGACTCTTTCAATTGATGCATAGTTATTATTGAAAGAGGCATCTGGAAAATGTCTTCCATTAGCTGTGGTTTTTGGCAGGGGCTATAAGCAAGCGTGGTCAGTGTAATTAAACTGACAAGTGCTTGAGATACTGTATTTGTTTGCGGTATGTACTTTCATTCAATAAATATTAGTGTTTCTTCTAAATCTTCTACTCTAGCTGGTGACCCTGGCAACATTTAAATGTTAGTATAGCATATAACATGGCAGCACTGGGGGGGACACACACAACATTTAGGACAAAATATTACAAGCTTTCTTAGCAAGTATGTGTTTGAGAGACTGTATGCAATAGATGAGCAGCAATAGATTTCTTCAGGAAAAGCTCAATCTGACAGAGAAGGCAAAATACCTGACTCTGGCAGATTTCTCTTAGTGAGCTGTAAAAACCTCTTGCTGGAGAAAATTAGCCTGGAGCCTTAAACTTCCAATGCTTTCAAAACTTTGTAGGCTTTCAGTGTAAATCCTTACTCTCTTTCGGATATATGTCATATGCCTGTGAACTTGTAAATTTAGCCCCACAGGGGACCTCTGGGATTGAGCCAGCCACACTGCAGATTTTGGATAAATGCTGAACAATGAATGCTCTCTTGGTCAGGGATCTCTAACAAGGGTTAAGTCTGAGCAACAGCTTTCTGGCTCACTTTATTTGGTTTCAAGTTTGCATTGCTTTTCATAGCTTTATGTACCTCCTCTTCTAGACACCTCTTTATGTTGTAAACCATGGTGAGACTGGACCAATCCGATGCAACAGGTGCAAAGCTTATATGTGTCCCTTCATGCAGTTTATTGAAGGTGGAAGAAGATACCAGTGTGGATTTTGCAATTGTATAAATGATGGTAAGTGATGTTTGTCTGATCTGTGATTCGTACAAATTCCACAAAACTAAAAAGATACCGTATCCCTAAAATTATTTTCTTGACTTGCTGAGGAAATAGTTTAGTGAGATGCAGTAACTAGGCCTGTTTCACAAATAAAAAAAAAATCACTACCCAAGCAAAATATGTAGAAACACTTGTTCAGTACAATTTTAGAAAAATAAATGTATGAAAAATAATGCTGATTCATGAAGTCCATTCTGATACAATCAAAACTTAAAAATACAATGTCAACATAGGATACAAAGCTGCTTGTATTGCTAACTGAAAGCAATTTTTGTGTGGAAAAAATTAATAAGAAATCTAAATGTCCAGCAAGAGCCAAATATTTAGAACCATGTTAGCCTAGTCCTGTCCACGACTGTGGATGCAATGGTTAAATAACCTATTAATCTTACTGTGACAAGTGTTGGTTTTCACAGAAGATACCATGCCATATTTGTTCAAGTGTGCTGCATGTGACTCATAACTGTTCTTGTGCTCTTGGCTAAATCCCAAGTCTTTGCCAGAACTTGCCTTTCTAGACATTTGTATCAAGTTGGATTTCCTCAGCTGGATCACAGCGGTATAGTGCTTTCCCTAATACAGTAATCTTTTCAACTCTGAAATGTGAACCTTGGCAGACTCGTTCCAACTTCTTTTCTGCCTGACGCTCAAATGTTTGGGCAAGCATAGTAGATAACAAATTTCATAGTTTGTTAGCAATTTAAACTCTCATAAAGAGAAATTTAAATGCATCGTGAACATTCTAAGAAGACATTTAAGTTGCAGTGTCATTTAAAATCATGTTTTGTATTAGTGCAGCGTCTTTTATCCAAGTTAGAAAGCACTTAGAAAGAAGTATAATGAGGACTAAAAATGGCCAAGAAACTAGGTAGATACTTGCCTGTTCACATACACATACACTTTTTATAGGCAAAAGTGTGAAAAATAAGCATTCAAAATATATATTGATTGAGGGAAAAAGGAGCTAAAATCCAGAGGTGACTCTTTGCCAGTGTGACTCTAACCATTACACTAGCTGTATGTAAATTGTTGGTGGCAAACCCACCTGATTTCTTAATGCTGTGGAGTTCTGCACCATTTATCATAGCTGTAGAAGGTTCCCAATATAATATAGCCAATATATTTTGCTACACGGTAGGTCAGGGTTGTGAACCTTGTAGAGCTATTTCAGTGAAGTGGTACTTTCGGTACAGGCTTTAGGAAGAGTGCTGGTTTTACTGCTCTCCCTCTGCAGAGCTCTGGCTCCAGTGATTTGAATTAAACTGTGAGTTGACTGTATCTACTAACAAAATGGTCACTGTTAGGTCTGTATCGTGAGGCTAACAGGCTCCTGCCTATGGAAATGACCTGAGTCAGTTTTACCTACTCAAGCCCTGACAGTGTAGAGCTGGGGGAATATGGACATTTACGGGGGAATATGGACATTTATGGGGGAATATGCCCTATTCTCCAAATACATAAGGAGCTGGCATTACTACAATATTGTGGTGTTTTGTATGTTTGTTTTAAGCCAATGTGGGGAAAAAAATCCATTGCAACCTCGGTGAGTGTTTAAACTCTTCCCTTGATCACTAACAGAGTAGCCTGCGTTAGTCCATTGTATTCGGTGAAAGATGTTGTTGGTTTGTTCCTCTCTTCCCCAAAATATAAACATATTTTTACTGCTCTTGTGTTGGCTTTTAGTCCCTCCATTCTTCTTTCAACATCTGGACCACATTGGCCGACGAGTAGACCACTATGAAAGGCCTGAGTTATCTCTGGGATCTTATGAATATGTTGCTACTTTGGATTATTGCCGAGTGAGTATTTCCAGTATGCAAACCAATTTACAATTTTATGTCAAAACAAACACAATCCTTTAAATACCTACAGTAGAGTAAATGCACTTGTAAGCTGAGTATCAGAGTCCAGGAACATTCTAGAAAATGTAGATAGATGCAGAGAATTTAAGCTTACAATATTATGTTTTGCTCTTTTATGCTGCGGAGTATGAGACTAACAAGTAAGAATAACTAATAGCACAGCAAAGTCATGGGTCACCAGTCTTTAACTGGGGTGTTTGTTTGGTCATAGCTAGCACGTTGCACTGTTTAGAGGATATAGTTGAGATTCTAAAATGCAGTGTTGCATTTTAGATGCATGTCGTCTATTGATTTTTAAGACTGACACGCTCCTGAATTGCCTTCTCAATATTGAAAACCATAGCAAGGGAATTTGACCTTGTAGTCTTTTCCTGGCCAGAGCAGTTTTAGTATTCTGACCAGTAAGTCAGTTACAGTGGAATGGGTTCCCTCTCCTAATATTAACTCACTGAAAAACTCAATGCAACGCCCACTCAAGTCACTGTAAATATTCATAGTTGATTTTATTAGGGAACTGTATTTGATACTTATGAAAGCATAAATTACTTAAACTTTTCAAACTTTAGCTCATTTTACAAAACTGCAGGTGTGATTTCATCTGCCCACAGTATGAACATATTTTTCTGTTCTTGCTGAAATGAGGCAGAATTTTCTTCCTGTCAGTGGAACTGAGGTCATGCTAAGGTTAGGAAGGGCAACTGGACCCTACAAAGTCTTGAAGTAGATACCAGCAACTTCCTCAGACCATTAATTTTCTGCTGGTATGAAGAAAAGGAACAGGTTTAATTTTTATTTAGTGCTTTCTCACTAGGGTACTGCTCCAAAATCCAGTGAAATCCCTGCAACAACCTATGTAGATTGTATTGAAATTGGGGTTAAACCCCAGAACAGGAGAGTCGTAGTGAGGCATTACAGAAATACACTGCGGGATCCTCAGTGTACAGCCAGTGTAGCTCCATCAAATTCAGTTAAGCTTTGCTGATTTCTGGCCGCTAAACTTCTGAAAACTCCTGTGTACTGCATGGCTCTGTGCCACAGTTCCTTTTCTCTACTCCAGAGTGTAGCCCTGTGTGATGCAATCGTCATCACAATGCATCTTTCACCACAGTGGCTTTTGCCATATAGCTTAAATCAGGGAGTTTCCTTGATAAGTTATCCAGTATGGTCTGCTTGGTGCAAAGACCCATCCACAGACTTACTAGAATGTTATAAAAAAGAAGTCTCTTACGAAATTAACACTCATGCTGAAAATGCTAAGTCATTACATTTTACAGAAGTTAACATTCTTTTATAATTAATTTTTCATTTTGCTTCAAGTTGCAAAGGTCTAATTATTTTATAAATCCTGTTTAAGACCAGAACTGAAAAGTCATTTCCTTTTGTGCTTATCAAATGACAAGGATGAACAGCTACAAAAAATGTTAACAAATAACAGCTGTTTTGCATTATTGCGCTCCTGCAAGGCGGATGTGGCAAGAGCACAAGTCCTCATTTCTGCTATATATTTGTCAGAAATTACACAAGGTTTCTTTACAAATGGTGTTGTGATACAAGAGTTTAGAAGTAGCATTTGAAACTAAAATCCAAGTACAGTAAACAGAACAGCTTTTAAAAATACTGACTGGTTTTACTTCACAGGAATTAATCCTGACTTAGATGATTCAAATGAAGTGAGATCAAGGGTATAATGCTGAGGTTAGTCTGAGGTGTGCCAGGGACTATGGATAAGTCATGATTCAAAGGTTAAATGATTTTTTTCTTATATGGAATTTTCTGAGGTTTAGTTTAACAAGTATAATTTGGTGAAGTGGTCAGACTTCTGTGTATGAAAGCAGTGGAACAGTATAATGGAAAAGCTGTCCTGAATTTGACACCAAGTGATGACCACTACTCATCTTAATGGGAATTAGGGAAACTGATCTCAGGGAGTATGATTACTGTTGCTATGTTCACTGCGTATCCTCTTCCTGGGTACGTCTCTAAGCATTGCATTGCTTTATTTGGCAACAAAACCCCTTCATCTTACTTTTTCTTACTTACAGAAACTTGTGTCAGTAGTGTATGTCATGATTTGTATGCCACTTACTTTATGAATAAGAGGAATTCCCAAAGGAATCCATACCAGCCCAAGTGACTGCTGGGTACGCAGCAGTTACATACATTGCGTGTTCCACTCTTGTGCTTTGATTATCTTACAGAAAGTCAGCTTATTCCTGAAAGTACAGTTCAGCTGTCCACAATGCACTGGAGCATGAGACAGCAAGAAGACAGACAGGATGCAGATGATCACCACTTAGTACTGCTAGGAACGGAGATATTTTAATTCTGGTTCGGTACCTAAGTTGTATTTTCTGTTTCCAGATTGGTTAGAAATCAACGGTTGTTAGAGGCAAATGCTAACAAAAACTGAATTTAAGCATTCACATTAACAAAATGCATATTGATACAGGGAATGCAAAAACGGTATGGGTATAGAAAAAAGCGAAGAGGCAAATTCATTTAAACACTTGAATTCCAGAGAAAATGCTTATATTGCATCTTACCTAGTAAACTGTTACCCTTTACACATTTTATTCCATTAGGATGCTATTTTCCAGTAATAATGTTTTACTCCAGTGGTGGACTTTACCCAATTACCTGTCAGCCTTCTGCAATAGCGACTATGGATGATCCATAGCATTTTTCAAACAACTGGACACTGCATTTAGATTGCCTTATGGTACCACCTGTAAATTTTTTTGACGTAACAGGGCACTGTCTAATCTTCCTTGTGAATGTTCATTTTTCCTGTAGAACAACAAGCCTCCGAAGCCACCAGCTTATATCTTCATGATTGACGTATCATACAGAAACATAAACAGTGGCCTCGTTAAACTCATATGTGATGAACTGAAGACTCTGCTAGAAAAGCTTCCAAGGTAAGGAAACCTAAGTGTGCTTTGCTTAGCTCACTACGCTGCAGTTCTCATGCCACTTTGCATGTTGAGAGGTAAAAACAAGCTACAGAAAATGTCAAAATTTACAGTACAGGCATTTTTGTGGTGATAGTGACCAAATGTTAAAATTAACACTGCTGGCAGTTCTTAAACTTTGATGTCTGGGCTTACTATATGAATGGAAAGAATCTGTCATACTAATTGCACATGTAGCATGCATTCTTTTCCTTTCTTGTAGTGAACTCTAGTGGTATTATCAGCTAAGTCCCAGCTTGTAGTTTTGATTTTACTTGCTGTTGTAGGTCTGTTTACTGCAATGCTGCTTTTTTCATTAAATTAAACAGAGAAATATCAAAACCAGAATGCTCAAGAACGGCAAGTCTCTCGAAAGCCATAGTGTTGGTGGCTTCTATCTTTAGCTCTTACTGATAATCAGCAAAACTTCTAAAGCTTCTTGCTATGCTGTAAGATTTCCTGTCCTGGTATGTATCTGAGAGGACAACAAATCTTGTAGGCAATAAACATTTTATGAAATACAGCACATTTGCTTTGTGAGCATTAAATACTCAGTAGTAGTACTACTACTGATCAATATTAATGACGCTTATTATTTGCATGTAGCTTAGTATAGTTTTTTTTTATATTAGTATAGTTTTCATTAACAGTTAAATAATGCAGACACACATAGTTAAATGAGAGTAGTAAAAGACTGAGAAGTTAAGTAGACAAGACGTTTCTCAGTGAAGGCATATAAAAGCATTGAAGAACAGGCAGAAAGAAAATGCATTCCAAATAACAATGCTTAGAGAGGGAGACCAGGCTTAAGAAATGGAGAGAGCAAAGTGAGGAAGGGTGGGAAACGAGATCCTTGAGATAATCTGGGATATGTTAAATCTTTTATCATATGTCCTTCTGGGATTTCTGTGCATGAAAGAAATTCCAGTTCAGGGAGGGGAGGGGTAGTTTGTCAGATGCCCATGTAAGGCCATCTCTCATCTTTATCATTGAAGATTTCACTGGAGACACAAGTGTTTGATATTATCCTGAACATATCTCAGAGCTTTCCATCAGGATTGGTCATGACTCTGAAGATAATAAAAGGCATGAGTGTAGTAACAAAAAGCAGTTGGCCATTTAGAAACACCTAGGCTTGAACAGGGAAAGTTGAGGAAAAATGAAAGCAAGTTGTACCTACGTCATAGAAAAGAGACGTTTAATTCTTCTCCTCACCGGCACTCTGCAGAGATCTGCTGCTAAATAATTTCTTCGCATGGCCAAAGTTTTCATGTCCGCTGAAAAAAGAAATAAGAAAATAAAGAAAGGGCAGGCCCTTCACTTTCTTCAGAGGGCTCGTCTGTTGTCTTTAGATAATACTAATTTTAAAAAAAGCAAAAGGCATTCCACCAAAATTTGTGGTGAAACTTTTATTTTGGTGCTAGGCCACAAAGGTCACTGTGTGTTCATTTTCAGTTGCTGGACACCTGCAAAAATATTCTGCTGTTACCACCTGAGGTGAAAGCCCTGTGCTGGGAATTCACTCTGTGCTCGTATGTTTTAAGAGGAAAGATGGGGTAGCAAGCAATCTGTGTCACAAAAAGGCCATTAGTGTAATTAAGACCAAATTAATTTTTTGAATAGGATTCCTTTTAGGGAAAAGCTCACTAAACTCAGGACTTTAAAACCTGGTAAGGGTCTGACTAGTACTGTTGATAACGCTGCTACTAATGGCAGAGCGGGCTACTGCTCAGAGGAGCTACCTCCTCAAAAACACAGGTTGTGCCTGCGCTGTTCCTGCAGGCGTAGCTCACGGCAGCAGTTTGCTCACTTTGGTTGGCCTGAGAACTCACTAGCAGCAATGAGAATTTCTACAGCGTGTTTTCTGCTGTGATGCATGGCTAGGGAGGTTCTACCAGCTTTTGCTGCTTAAAAGTAGCCCTGCTGAAGCAGAAGATTGACGCACCAAAGTCACCAGACATTATTCAAGCCTAGTTACTATTCTTACTACACATCAATCATTAGCGTCACTGACTTACAATGTATTCTAAATAAAGCTGATTTTCTGATTGTATCTTGTAACTAATTGTCCTGTTCTGTCTTTTCCATGTTTTGAGGATAATGCTTTATTCTTTATCTTAGGGAGTTTTGACTGCTTGGATGGGATGCACAGTTGATAGTGTTGACGTAAACATACATTTTTTAAACAAGCAAATAATACAGCAGTTGATTTTATCAGGGTGTTTTAATTTGACCTAAGGCAAAGATTGAGGGCATTACTTGCTTGGTTGTTGTTTGCTTTCTTGCTCTCAGTACAGATACTGATCTAAAGCAGCCTTGCATTTCAAATGAATGATTTTATTGCAAGGTCAGAATTTCAGAATTACAACCCGTTGGTTTTGTTTTTCTTACAGAGAAGAGCAAGAAGAATCCTCAGCAATTCGAGTTGGTTTTGTCACTTACAACAAGGTCCTCCACTTCTTTAATGTAAAAAGCAGCTTAGCTCAGCCTCAGATGATGGTGGTCTCAGATGTTGGAGAAGTTTTTGTTCCTTTGCTGGATGGTTTCCTTGTTAACTTTCAGGAATCACGATCTGTTATTATCAAGTAAAGTATAATTATTCCATATGCGAATAAGATCTGAATGCTAATGGATATGCATTATGCCTTTTAGTCAGTTGTGGTATTGGGTTGGGGGAGGTTCCATGCGTTTACTGAAATACTGTAGAAGCCAGTGGATGCTTCAAATCATATATTCCCACCTATGAGGCAAAGAAAAAGAGCTATCAATGACCCCCCAGTGCTGAATTTGAAAGCATATTTAGGCCAGGTGTAAACCATGCATCTTCAGCTGTGCTTCTTCAAAAATGGGAGGGGGGTTGCAGCTGCGTGCCATGTTGCATGTTTTTCCTCTTGCAATGTATACAATGCACACCTGGATATGATCTAAGGACACTTTAAGTCCTTCCAGCACACTAGAACTCTAGAACTCCTTATTTTTTAGCTATTTATTTATTGCATGTTCCTTTATGTTACCAGCTTTCAAATAATGCATCTCATAGAATTTAACAATTCATATTTTGTTTTATTCTGTCTGGAATCCTAAGAGATTGAGCAATAAAAAATGATATTTTTTTAATAGAAATTTGCATGGAAAACATCTTCCTATGTGAAGACTTGGTATGTTACAAGGTATGTTTGGGGATTATCCCAAATACGCTAACTGGTTGAAACACTGATCCTTTCATCTTTCGTAGCTTGTTGGACCAGATTCCAGAGATGTTTGCAGACACTAACGAGGGTGAGACCATCTTGGCTCCTGTTATCCAGGCTGGCATGGAGGCACTAAAGGTTAGAATGTTCGTCTCTGTTAGAGAAACAGCTCTTTAATGAGAATAAGACTTGATAAGCTGCAGAAATTCCATTTGCTAAAAGCCAGTCCTGGGTCCTCCTACAAATCACAATGGGAAATGAGAAAAAAAAAAGTCGCTGATTGTTTCCAGCACTGATGTTCCGTTATTCTAACAGTACGTTTGAACTGCTTTAGTCAAAATGAGAACACTGACAAGCACAACATCTGTTTCCAGAATTTGCTCATTGAGGGAAACCAGTCCCTAGAGCCTATGCTACATAGAATGGATGTTTAGGAGAAGATGAGGAGGAGGAGTGGGTTTCTCATTCAGCATTTGAGGGAAATAAAAAAAGAGTTTAGTTACTGCAGCAGAGCTAACAGATACTCTGGATGTTTGTGCAGATACCCAGTCCATGCATGTGTGAAGGGCAGGAAAAGAGTCAGTACAAGATACGATTTTGCCCTGCCTATCCTGCTTCTGCTGACTTTGTGTGCAAAACGAGATATTTATGACTATTTATGATTGAATTGGGTAGGGGGGGGGTTGGAGGGTTTCCGCTTAACTTACAAGTTCTCACAGCTTGAATGGAGCTGAAAATGAACCCACAGGTCAAGATGCACCCCCAGTTGCTTTCTGTATGTCCGGGACATCCCCTAAAGTGCTGACATTTCGCTGGAGTGCTGCCAATTAAAAGAATGCCACCGTGGTTCACCACAAGATTTGTAGGGGCAGAAAACAGCCAGTGGTGGTTTAAAATAGTTCATTTATCTGCAAGCTGTGTATAAGTAAAGCATGAACTTTGAGTGGATAAATTTGTTGAACTGAAAATACACACCATTTCTCAAATCTGTTTCTTAAATATTTAATTAATGCCTATTTTCTTGTTATTTATTCATACTGCCAGAAGGTATGAGTGCAAAACATACATTTGCTTACCACTTCCATCAGGATGCTCTCACCTAATGCTTGACTTCTACAAAGCAAACTTAAGGGCCTTAGTCGTAAATTTCCTTTGATGTTGGCTATAAAAGAAAGCTGCTCTTAATTAAGCTTTTTATTTAGCTCAGTATTTTAAAGTTATCATTTGTAAGGATTTTCACTGTGAATTACTAGTATGCATATACCTGTGCTCAAGAAAACAATTCTTGTCTAAAAAGAATAAAATGGATTGTGTTCCTATTTGGGATTAATTTTAATGCACTTTTAGAAATAATATATATACCTTTTAGAAAATCAGTCAAAAGCAGTGTCAGCGATTCCTGATGTGTATTGCGACAAACAGGTATTTGAAGTCTTTCAGTCTTCAGCAGAATGCTGCTTAAGAGGAATTGAAGAAATTGGCATTTGTGATTAAAGATAACTATGCTTGAAATATTAGGGGTGAAATTTCAGCTCTATTAAAAGTAAGATACTGTCTTCAGTTGCATTTCCGACATAGCAAAGAGATTTCTAGTTTTCCCACAAGAATGCTGTAGCTTATTTTAAAATGTGGAGTATCTTTATCTTGTGAACATCTTTAGATCTGGAGGAGAAAGAGTACCCAAAGCTGATGTGTGCCTGTAGTCTGGGGTTATTGCAGTTTTAAGTCTGGAGCAGGAAAAGGACAAATCCCTCTTGCTTCCTTCCTTCCCTTCACCCAGCTTCTTCAATACTACCTCAGAATTGCTAAGCAGTTTTCATTTCACTTTGCTTTGACTTTTGGTCAGCCCTGAAGTGGTCAGGCAGCTGGGCTAGATGGTCATTGTAGACCCCTTCCAACTGAAATACTCTTTTTTTGTTCTGTTCGTTCCCATTAGCTATCTCAACTGCAAGAGTAAGTGATAAACTGGATTGTCTTAATTTTGGTGGAAAAGCTTTTTAATAGTACAAAGATGCCTACGGTGCTGCTGCTGCTGTTACTCTCTTTGGAATTCGGGGTTGTCTGTCAGTAGTTTGTCATCTCAGTAAATATTATGCTCTCGTTAGAGTTCTAAATAACAATAGAAAACATGAATAGAACTGGCAATTACTTCCTCTCTTAGTGACAGGAGGAAATGTTCATCACAGGTTTTGATACTCCTGCATTTTAGTGTAGATTTGAATGTGGAATCTAGTACAGGAATGTAACTGTCAATTCATCTATGGAAATGTAGTGAACGCTAGTGTGCCTGAACTGAAGGAAATCATTTTCCTGTTAAATTGCATTTCCTTTTAATATTAACCTGTTTAGTATTTGTACTTTTGGGACTTGTTGCTTGTTGCATAATGCTTGTATCCAACTGGAAAGTCTCCAAGAGAGATACTCCTAGTTTTGCCCATCAAGATTTTGGATTCCTATGTAGAAGTTACTGTAACAATGCACTGGCCAACATATCTGTGTGCTAGACAAAGTTATTTACTGACATAAAATTCCCATTTTGTTTCAGGACTTACTTCCATCAAGTTTTGAGTCTCTAAATGAATTTAGCTCTGAGGAACGTGCATAAAGTTTATGCTGTTCTCTGAGATACCACAATGTATGAAAATTAGGCTTATCTTAGCAGTAACAAATATGCCAATATGGTGTCTTTGAAACAGGCTGCAGAATGTGCTGGAAAATTGTTTATCTTTCATTCTTCATTGCCAACTGCGGAAGCACCGGGGAAGCTGAGAAACAGAGATGACAAAAAACTACTCAATACAGATAAAGAAAAGGTATTTTCTGTTCTCAGTTAACAAGGGACTGCTATTGCACTGAATTTCTCTAATAGAGCCTTGATCTGTTTTCATTTACTTTCTTTTTACTCTCGCTGTGCCCTGATTATGTAGGTGTATTGGTATTGGCCCTGCAGGAGCACCAAAGTCACGCTACGGCAGAGCAGCCATCCCCACCAATAAAAGAAACCCCCCAGCAGCAAATAATTCCACCCATCACAAACCTTTGCTGCCTGCCTGCTCAGGGATTTAGTTCTCCAAGAACGTATCGAGTTGGTTCCCTGCCTTTGAGTATATGGGCAGGGGCAACATGTTTTTAATCGACTCCATGCCTCCCTGAAAGCTTCATCTTTTTTTCTTCAAGTGGGTATCTGGCTTGTGGTGGGCCACCGACAGTATCCAGTGTTGACACTTGTATTTTTGAATTCTGTGCAGACACTCTTCCAGCCCCAGGTAAATTCTTACGAGGCCTTAGCCAGGGATTGTGTGGCTAACGGCTGCTGCGTGGATTTGTTCCTCTTCCCGAATCAGTACGTGGACGTAGCCTCCGTGGGTCTGGTCACAATGTACACTGGAGGAACACTGTACAAGTACAACAATTTCCAGGTAAGTGATGCGGCTTTCCTGCCTTTCAGGTAGCAACACCTGAGGATCCGTTGTTTTAATTTCAATGTGTGCTTCAACTTTTAACGTAAAAGTAGAGTCACTCTAGAAAACTTATAAACTCCAGGGGATAAAATTCAAACTCAGAAATGGCAGATCAGGCTCAAATACATATCTTGAAACAGTAATGAGCTGCTTGGTATCCTAAAATTAAATCCACTTACTTAAACATGCTGGCATCCGAGCAGGGAAGTCAATGACTCCTGTATATACAAATAAAAATGCTTATGATTTGACCCAAAAAGACCTCAAAAAAGCCATAACAACACTTGTTTAAAATTTTATGCGAGTCTCTCTGGGGAGTGGTCGTCTTTCTCTGTGTCGGGAGCTGACCTGCAGAAGCATTTTTTGCGAAGTCAGCAAGGCTACTCTGCGCTTGGTAAGCCTGTGCTGGGCCGCAAGGTTAAGTGCAGGGAACGGGTGTTAGTGAAGAGGATTCGATTGAACAGAAAATTCTGCATGTCTGAAGCCTAGTGAGGAATTGGTGGACACTTGCATATATATGCTAATGTTACAGAACAACAATCGGCGTTGTTTCTCTCTCTCTAAAAGATCAGATTTGATGTCGGGGGTCTCCGGGAGAGGGTTGGGCTCGGCCATGTTGCTGCCACCCTGTGGAGAATGGCAACTCTTGCTTTTGCTTTGCGTTTCTAGCTCGATGCTGACAGCCCACAGTTCTTAAGTGACCTCAGGAAGGACATAGAAAAAAAGACCGGATTTGATGCAATAATGAGGGTCCGGACAAGCACAGGTAATGGTACCCGTAATAAACATGAATGCACATAACAATGTATAATTTTAAATAACATAGTGCTGTGCAGATCACTCGCAAGATCAGGTGAGCTGTTTTAACTTCACTGTGTAGCTCTTGGAAAGTAATCGGATAAGTCCACAAATATGTCCTTCCTCTGTATGCCTCCATAATAATTAGTTTTCAAATCTGAGTCATTATGCAGGCATCTTGGATTGCGAGTCGGTTGTATGAAAAAGTGTTGCTGCTTGACACTTGCATGTTCCTTCGTTTTCATACTTCAAATGACATTGCTCTGTCTACTTTTCAAGTATTCATTCTTACCTCGAATGCAAGTATTTGAGAACCACCCACACACAACACGGCCAGGTCAGTGGCCCAAAAGGTTCTGGGTGGTCCCAGAGTCACAGCGCAGCTTCATGGCCCGTCAGCTTTCCCCCATCACCCAACTGTCAAACAGCGTCATCGGCAAGGACGGGTGGTGGGGCCCCCTGAGGCTGCAGAGCCCCAAGGGAAAACTGTTCCTGTTTCAGTAAGCAAAATTGACTGACCATAAAAAGAAAGTCACAAAATAACGTCAGTTTTATCTGTCATTTTTAAATAAAAGGGTACGTTTGTTTTGTTTTCATCTGGCCGTAGGCTTCAGGGCAACGGACTTCTTTGGTGCCATTTACATGAACAACACCACAGATGTAGAGATGGCAGCAGTTGACTGTGACAAGGCAGTGACAGTGGAGTTCAAACATGACGACAAACTGAATGAAGACAGTGGAGCCTTAATTCAGGTAAAATTAAACAATTGCACGTAATGCCATGAAATTGTGAGCAAGAACTTCTGCAGCCATATCAGAAAAAAAGTTCGTGTGTAGGACTGACGGGAGCAAGGCACAGCTTGCACAGACTCTGGTGACACAGTACCACTGGTAAGAAAAGGTGTGATTTTTTTCCATTTTACTAAGTAAGTTTAGTTGGAGTACAAGATTCATTACTACTTAGATGGAAACTGTTGCTGCTGTGGCATTCCTTGTGACATCTCTGTTCAAGAGCAGTTCTCTATCGCTAACCATCACCTCCAACCCTACGGGCTGCTCGAGACCCACCAGCAATGGTACCTGTGCGGTCAAAGTTCTCGCCTGCAAACCGCCAGCTGGCTGCCCTGCTCCCTCAGGCGCTTGGCGCATGAGTGCTAGAAGCCCCCCCGCCCTTGCCGGCTGCCATCGTGATGTACTCTGTGGGTCACGAGGAGACGCGCAGCGCCCTTGCCTGTGCAGAGTGGAGGGGGAAGCCTCCACGTTCCTCTGCTCCGCTGGATAGCCCTGCCAGCTCAGATCGGACTGGCCGCGGTAGCACCACCATTAGCACAGGACTTTTGCCTCGCACATCAGGAGCCTTGGTCTGGCCTTGGCAAGGCCAGGCTGTTCCAGAGCTAATTAGAGCTTTGCTTCCCACCTTAGTCCAGAGCGCGGGACCTCAGTAACCGTTCCTGGAAATGTCACCTAGGCAGTAATTGATACTGCTCTGCGTCAGCTGCCAACAGACTTGTGATACGTCTTTTGTTAAGAATGGGAGCATCCCACCCAATATCAGCTAATGGAAGGTGCTTGATGACTATTCTAGATGTTTAGTGGTGACCTTTTTCTTGTTTAATGACATCATAAAATGCTACAGCTTGCAAGGTTTTAAGCTTAAGCCATGGAATTATCTGAACTTTTTATTTCTGTTCTGCTTGGCTTTTAGCTTGCCCCTATAAATACATTTCATAGGTCAGCAGTTAATCCCTCTATGAATGCAGCACTGTGAAACATGCAGTTTGGTACGGCTGAAGGCGCGCCGTAATGCAGCAGTGACAGGGATGTATATGCCACGTATACGTTGCATTTACAGCTCTTCCATAGGCGCGATACTTGTGGAAGTATCTACTGCGAGGCAGACTATGGTAACCTGGGGGCCTGTGTTTGCCCTGCAGGCTTTGGCTCACACGTTATATTGCAGTATCAGCACTGTATTGAGGTGGTATTGGAGCCGTAAGGAAATGGTTAAATTGCACCCTCAGTTTTTAGTGCCTAAGCCCATGGTAGGTGCAGGACACGGGTTAGCAGGACCTCTTGCTTCCCTTCATGAGCAACTTAAGTAAAAAGAACCACTCAGCTTTTCAAGGTTAGGAAGTTTTTCTGGGATGCTTTTGCCAAGAGAGAACGTGAGGGGCAGAGTACTTCTCAGCAACGCCACACCTCCTGTGGCACCTTTTCAGATACATTTATTTGAACCGTTCAAATACTACACAATTACAAAGCATGATTTACAAATTTACAATCAGTGGTCTCTTGTTTTCAGGTGATACCATCAGCAAATGAGAGTAATAAGCCTTTCAATCAGTCATACTATTATTTTTAGAATTTTAAGATTAATAACTTTAATAATGTCTAATTAACTTCCCTAAAAATACAGGTGTTGGTCCTAGAGCTGGCAGAGGCACTGCAGCAGCACTGCCAGGCTAGGCTGTCTTCAGAAGGAATTACATGCCTTTTACGCCCAAAGCAGGTGGCTCTTGCATGACAGAAGCTTTTTGTTTTAAAGTAAAAATAAAAGGTGCTTTGCTCCTCTGTTGCAGTGCGCTGTCCTTTACACGTCGATAAGCGGGCAAAGAAGACTTCGCATACACAATATAGGTTTAAATTGCAGCTCCCAGTTAGCTGATGTCTACAAGACCTGTGAGACAGATGCGCTTATCAACTTCTTTGCTAAGTCAGGTAAACTTGTAACAGACCCATTTTGGTTCCTTTTTTTACTTTGGGATGGAAGGAAGGGGAAGGAAAGGGAGCCAAAGTGATTATTACCAAGTGGGAAATCATTGTTTGTAACATGCTGCTCCAAGCCTGAGCAACTCTGGCAGTAGTATAAAACTGAAAAGACAGATGACATATTTTAGCCAGCCTGCCCTAGAAGTAGTACTTGTGAAGGTAGCTGGCAACGTGGAACGTGCAAAACTGTACAGGCACAGCAGGGGAAATGGGCAGCCCCTCGTGGTGCTGGAGCTTTGGTGGTTTTTTTAGCAAAGATGAATAAACATCCTCCAAGATGCTCTGTAGAAGGGACTAAAAACCAGCCACAGACCTGACGTTAGCAAAACGAGCAGCTAGCAGAATACAGATACTCGCCGAGAACGTGTCCATCTTTAGCACACTCTTTTATTCTTCTGTTTGTAGCTTTTAAAGCCGTTCTAAGCCAACCACTGAAGACGGTCAGAGAGATCCTGGTGAATCAGACAGCTCACATGCTGGCGTGTTACAGGAAGAACTGTGCCAGCCCCTCGGCAGTAAGCCAGGTAAGACCCGCCCAAACTCGGTCCTCCCCCTGCCAGGCTTTGTAGCAGATGAGCGACCACCCTTGCAACATCAGCAGTGCCAGAAAGGAAAATTTCAGGACAGACTCTTCCCTTTTCTTTCAAATACAATTAATGAGAGGTGGGATTCAATGGTAGCAGTTACAGCCCAGGGAGGCTGCTGTTCCAGATGCCGTGCCACTGAGGAACCTGACGGTCGTATTCACACAAGAGCTTAGACAGCCTAGAGCTGCTTCCTGCTGGAATGATGTGCTGACTCAAAAAGCTTTCATTTTTTCTTATGTTGGTAAAGATTTCAGTATTCTAATTTTTGACAACTAACACTGTTACTGTAAAAAAATGAAAATAACCTTGTATCTTAGTAAACAATCTGAATTTGCACCTAGGTCTCTCATGTGTGCTAGAGTGATAAATACCTGGTGTCTAGATGGGGCCAAACTCCTGGGGGGGGGGGAAATCCACGGTGATTAAGCCAACAGTCTGTTACTGTCTGTCTTTACCAAAAGGTAGTAAGAAGCTCTAGGAACCTGATTACTTATATTCCACATTACTTGGAAATTCTCTCAACCCAAGATATGTCTCATTTTCAGCCCATTCTTTTATATATTTGGAACATTCGGGGAGGTCTAACTGAACTGACAGGAAGGTGTTTTCAAATCCTTTCAGGAACTGTTTCTGAGTAAAGTCTTTTTCTGTTTCAAATACCCAAAGATGGCTGAATTGAGAATTACAAACCCTGTAAGCATTTGAATTTAACTCCTATTATTCTTGTAACCCTCAAAATATTTCCCTATCTCCTTCAGA